TAGGTCCATTAGGCTTTAACAGCAGGTGCAAAGACAGAGATTTGGGGAGACTTCAGGTTCTGTAATCAGTGTCTGCCTGGCCACCCTACTAGGCAGAAACTCCCACTATTTTGGTCTGAGGGCTATAGGGGCCAACCGGCTGCCAGTGCGGGGAGGGGAGCCCTAAGAGCAGCCTGGACCCCGAAGAGCCTCCCCGCTCCCCGCCCACGACCTGCATGGGCACCGAGGCAGGGGCCGCAGCTGTCAGTGTAGGAGAGCAGCACCCCGGCGCAGAGATAGCAGAGGAGAGCCTGCCGATCAGGACAGGACATGGGAAGTTTTTCCAGGCAGAATGCACCAGACGCAGCGAGTTGGAAAATTTAAAGTGGGGAGGGGGCGGGTAGAAACGTTAACCGGCCCCGTCTCACCTCAAACAAGGAAAACGAAAACGTCTTCTGGGCTAAAAATACATATTGAGAAAGGCCCTGTGCGCAGGCGGGCGGCGCGTTCCAGCTGCTGGCCTGGCCCGGGGAGGACTTGGCCGCGCGGCCGCCGATTACACCCAGCTCGGCTGGGATGGCTCCGAGCCGTCTGCCCTGACGTCAGCGAGGCTCCGGGCCCCGCCGCGGCGAGATAGGCAGCGCGGCCGGGCGCGGGCGCGGCGCTAATCACTCCCAGATGTCCCTAATAGCGGAGATAAAGACGGACGGAGCGGCCGGGAATAAATTTGTAATCAGGGCTCTACCATCTGATCATCAAAGCGGCCCAAATGCCGGGAGAATTTGAAGGGAATGTGTGTGTAGGGGGGTCGCGTTTAGGGGAGAGGCGGGAGGCCCGCTCCTCGAAGAGAACTGACTTGGGCAGGGTGGAGCGAGAACAGGAGAGAAGTCTCACTTCTGTGCGCGTGTAAGGCAGATACCCAGTGCACTTTAACTTCCATTAGCAGGACTGGCCGAAGCCGCTGAGTTGTTCCAGGCCTGTCAGAAGCCGGCCGACAGTGGCTGAGCTGGGAAGCACGCCTCGCGCAGCGGCTGGATAGTAAAGCGGCGCGCTCAGAGCTGTCTGGCCCCCGGAAATGTGGGATTCGTTTCCTCTCCTGGAGTTGCCCCCTCTTCCCTCCTCCCCTTTCCAAGCAGTTAAAAAATACTTCGTCCCCTTTCCCCCGGTAGACATAAACCCTATAGCACGGCTGAGCTTCCTAAGGGATGGGGCTGCTGGGGCCTCGAGCCGGGGTCCTGGACCAGCCTGAGGGCTGCTCCAGGGTCTTTCTCTCCAAGAGAGCGGCGGGCTCCGACAGGCCAGGAGTCCTGTGCGTCCTGGAGACTCGTTAGCGCCCTTCCTCGCGCAGGGAGTTGGGCTGGCTGGAGGGAATGTGTTCCCTCAGGTCAACAGATCAAGAAAAGACAGGCAGTACTCAGGGTCAACCCTCTAACGGGGCACACGCCACAAGCCTCCTTTCCAGATCATCTCCGCTTGGCATCCACCACCAGTCCCTTTTCCAAATCCAGGCGCGTGGGTAGGACTCGCGGGTAGGGAGAACGCGAGGCCGCTGTGGAAGAGAAAACTGCTAGCCGCGGACGCAGCGTTAGATGTCGCGTTTCCTGAAAGCCGCAGGAATAACTGAGAGGTTTCCCGTGCTTTGTAGACTCGCAGTGCAAATGCAGCCCCGGCTGTTGTGACATCCTTTGCCCAGTTTACTGTTCCCTGCATATACACCTCAGGCCCTCGCAATGGGCTCGGGTTCTCCGTGCAACGCTCAAGTCTCAAAGTCTCGGAGGCAGCTCGCAGGCCTCCTTCTGCTTCCTGTGGCTTTGCATCTGAGCTCACCCTTCGCACTCCTTCCTGCGAAATACACGTGCACACAACTCACTCAACCTCCTGCTGCTTAACAACCGGGTGGGACACCAGCTCTACGATCCTCGCCAGCCCCGGGCGGCGGCCAGCAGACGCGTCGGGGAGGGGAAAAGGATCGAGCCACCCTCCACCGCTGATTCATGCACACTTGCTCTCCGAAGGCTTCCTTCCCTGGCGCTACTGTTGTACCCATCTCATCGCGGGGACGACCAGGCCGCCTGGTCTTGCCACACCTGAGGAGAGCAGCCTAGGCTGTCCCTTCCTACGTGCCACGACCTATTGGCTAACCTGCTCAGAGGCTGGAGCTTCCCGCCGAGGCCCTTTTGGAAGGCAAGAAGAACCTCAAGTGAACTTGCTGTCATCTTCTCGGCGTCTGGACCTGAAAAAGCTCTTAAAACTGCCGTCAGTGTCCCGGCTGGGGGCGAAAATCCTGGAAAATTGCGACTGGGAGCAGGAAGTGTGCTCAGGTCCCACTCTATCGAGTTTTCCAAATTACTTCCCAAGAAGTTGAGAATGGGTCTGTAGGAAAACACACACACACACACACACACACACACACACACACGCACACACACACACACAGCGGCAGAGCCCTCGCCCCGCCGGTGCTCCAGGGTTATCAGGCGCTCGGCCTGCGCGGCGGTCTGGGGCCTGGCCCTGACAGCCAGATCTACCATCAATTTACCTTCCGCCGCCCCAGCTTCCCATTTAGCTTTTAACGTCAAATCCTGCATTTTTGTCGGCTCCGGCCTGTCTAGAGAGCTTGTGATTTCGCTGCAGGAGTGATTGCTTTTAACAAAATGGCAGCAACCACATTATCCGAGCAATTAAAACAGAGGCCTTTTAGCTAGTCCCGCAAGGCAAGAGCTTGGAAACTTTTTTTTTTTTCTTTTAAAGCGAAGACCAAAGGGAGTTAAAAGAGAAAGAAATGTGTAGAAGAGAAAAGCATGGACGCACAGGAGAAACGCCTGCCCAGCCGGCCACTCACTTCCCTGGGACTTGACGCGGGGCAGGGATGCGGGGGGACTGGGAGCGTTGGGAAGGTTGGGATGTCGGGGCAGCTGGAGGGACAGATAATCTGGAGTGTCTTGATGGTTAAAGTCTCTGGCCAGTTAGGGTGTGCGTCCCGTTAGGGGCTTCAGCCCCCTGGGGTGTCCAGTCTGCTGACTCTCTGGCCAGCTGGGGTTTCCAGAGTGTTGGATTGTCGAGGTGGTTGAGATGTCGGGGTCTGGAGCTGCTGGGCCGAGGAGGCGGCGCAGCAGGAGAGGAGGCCGGCAGCGCCTGGCTCAGGCCAGACAAAGAGGACACGGTTCTGGAGCTCGAGTTTAAAAGCATGTGTAGCAGCGAGCTGCCCCGGGTCTTCTGGTCACCCTCTGCTGGTGTTTGAAAGACCAGAAAAAGTGTTCAACCAGCAGAAATGCGTTAGATCCCAGGTGGCGAAGGACAGCAGCTAGCCTAAGGCAAGCACAGGCTCACATGCACAATGAAGATAACTCCTCTCCGGCTGCTGTTTTAAAAACCTCACCGCATCCACCACCATTCACCCCACTACTTCGGTAAACTCTTTTCTTCCACCCCTTGGATCTGGCGTCTTTCTCTTGAAAGGATTAGAGTAAGGACGCGAACGGCGGCTGGAGGCAGGAGAGGGAGGGAGCCACTCGGTCAAAGAGACAGGGATCCCGAGAGTAATAGAAAATCAGGGCGCGCCTCCCTCCGCCCCCCAGTGCTATAAACAAAGGCAAGTGTCTGTAAACACAGGCCTGCGCCCACCACGTCGGCCCAGCGCTGGCTGACCCGAGGGGAGAAAGTTCAGATCGCTTTGGCCGAGTTGTTCTAACCCCTCGCCCTCGCGTTGTCAGCTGCCCGCAGGAGAAGCCCGCAGAACCGCTCGCTGGTCCCTCCCGGGGCATTTGCCAGTTCGCCCGCTGCAGGCGGCCGGCTCGGACTGGGCACCGGCGAGGCACGGAACCCTTGGGATATCCAGGGAGGGTCTGTGCCCGAAGCCCAGGTGCGAACATCACCCAAGAATGGGTTCCAAGATGGAAACCCTCTGGCAAGCCTCCCTAACACCAGATTTATATACGTGCCGTTTCATGAAACAAACCGCTTTTTAATACGTTTCACCTTTCTTCCCTCCCCTCCTCCCCACTCCCGAATCCCTCCCCTCTTCTCCCCACCCCTGGCCTGCCGGGTCCTTTATGGCACTTCAGTTTCTCTGGTTCCTAGAGCTGAGATTCCGGCTCTAGCCAAGCCCACGGGCAAAGGAGGCCTCAGGGACTTCCTTCCGGGATGTGCTGGGACTCTAGGAGACCGACCCTCCGACGGGGTGAAGTCACGGGCGGTTGGTAGCCGGGGGAGGGCGACGCTTGCTCGACTGGCCTGCGGGCCGGGAAGACTTCAGACACAGCACAGTTAATAATGAGTTCCCCGTAGCTCCTTGTAAATCTGCCCCACCCCCACCCCCCTTTAAATCCGTGGTCTTGTTCGCGATTTCTTACTTGACGTAAAATTCCTTGTTACCTAATCATGGACTTTTTCGAAGGCCCTCCCTCTCCCCTTGCCTGCTCAGATGAGAATCCCCCCACTCCATCGAGACTACAAGCAAAAACCTCCTCTTTTCCCTCTTTTCTTTTTTTCTTTTCTTGGATAAAAGCCCTACATTTTGAATTAAAAACTCTAGACTAGTTCTTGCGGCTGCAGTAACGCCTGCGCTCCTCCTCCACCGACAACGCGCTCCCCAAACAAAAACCGAAGCCCCCACCGAATGGCATCTGGTTGATTTCAGGAAAACGAGGACACCTTTCCACCTTATGAGCAAACTGCAGAGGCCTTTCCCTGGCCCAGACCCTCCTTCTAGAAACGGGCTCAGCCTTCTCCTGGGGGCTTGGGGGAGAAGGAAGGAGACAGGACTTGGGTAGAGCCCAGGTCCTTTGGCAGAACCAAGAGACACTTCTCCAAGGACACTTCTCTTTAAGGGACACTTCTCTTTAAGCGAGGACGGCAGCTCAGGTTGATGATTGGTCCGAACCACTGACTCTTTCAAACAAAGTTAGAGGCAATCTTGATAATTTAGTTTACTTCTGAATATTTTAAATATTATGAAAACAAGTATAACAGTTTTGTTTTCAAAACTCCTCTGAGGTATCAATCATTAAAAGATAGGGGGGTTTTGTAAAAAAAACACACAGTGGTTTATTGAATACTTACAACGTTTACACCTTCAATATTAATTAAATTCCACTTAGTTTTAGAGGACGGAAGTGCACAAAACAAATAGCTGTTGGAAACATCTTCGAATAGGGAACGACCACAGATGAAACGACAGCACTATCTACCGACCCCAACGGAAATGGTAGCGGCCCCGTTTTCTGCTTTGAAATAAAACTTTATAATCCCCAGGAATATTTATATCCAAAGGCCAAGTATTAAAGATACACTTCACATATACACTATTGTCCGATGTCTTTATCTTGAAGGGGTTGGGTGGGTGGGGAAGGGGCAACGCTGGTGTCTACACAGCCAGAAGGGAACATTCACATACAGAGAATCTACGAGACGACGGGATCCCTTACCACGCGGGAGTGTCCTCTTCATATTAAAATATGGAATGCTTTTCTTCAAATATCCACTTTTTTTGGAGGGGGAGGTGGGGAGCGGATGCCTCAAAGGGGGGCAAAGAGAGGGGAGGCAAATTGCACATAAATAAACCAGATGATTCCAAATGCAAGAAGTCCTCAGAGCGGAGCGCAGAGAGCTTGCCCGGAGTCCTGAGTCTGCATCCGGCTCCTGGGCCCCGGCTCACTCGCGCTCTCTCCTCCTCCTCCTCCTCACTGTTTGAGCTCCAGGGCCCAGACGTGCTGCGGCCAGCCCGTCCGGCCTTTGGTTTTCTTGTCGTTGCTGCTCACTGTGCTTTTCAAGATTTCGTTCTGGGCAGAGGGGGAATGAGAGGGAGAAAAGTGGAAAGAGAAATTCAGAGAGGAAACCTGGTTCCACGCCACCCCAGCGCTTCCCGGGCCAGAGGAGACAGTGAGAGAGGTAGAAAGGGATGGGAGATGGGATGGTTTCAAGTCCTAGCCCCTGCAGAAAAGCTACGAAGGTCTGTGCTGCCCTGGCTACCGCCCGGGCCTCTTCGCGCCTGAAACGCTCAACTACCGGATCCACAAGTTTATAAACAACTGCCCGTTTTCAAGTCGTTTATGGAGGAGCTGGGGGCCTTTTTCTCTAACTCCAGATGTAGGGGCGCGAGCGGGGGTCGGCGCTAAATCTGGTTTCCCTGTTTTCAATCGCAGTCCCAGATCCTCGCTCTAGGGAAGACGGGGAGAAGGTCCCTCCGCCCTGGCCTGGGCCTCTCAGCCCTCGGCTCTCAGCCTCCGGCTCAGCAGTGCCTCTCCTCCAAGGCCTTTGAAATCCCTGGCTATAGGGGACGTCACTCGCTTATGCAGCGACTAAAGCGCCACAGGCCCCAGAAAAGAAAAACTCGACAAATGGAATTACTTTCCAGGCCCTTCATGGCAATACCTCTGCTCTCGACACCACCACCCGATGGGCACTTGGTAGGAACTTGAGAAAACTTTAATTTTCAGTTATAATTTCGTGTTACTATTAACAACAACAGTGACCACAGTGATAGTTACTTTTTTGTGTTAAAATGTACAGGCTCATGCAAATAAAACAAGAAACACCCATGAAATATACTCATCCGGGAGGTTACATTTTAACCTCATTGCCAAAGAGATACTGGAGCTGCGTTTTGAAGTTAAGAGCGCTTGTTTTATGTTGACCTTTACGTCTTCCAGGCACAGTGATGAGAACAACCATAAAACTCTCTTAGGTCAGTGGCAGCCTCGCTCTCAAGAGAGGGAAATGGGATCAATAGCGAAATAATTGGAATCGAACGCTTCTGGGCGACTTACTTTAGAAATATCTGAAAGCAAGATCGGATTGGAGGCCAAATGAAGGCTCTAACGGACACGGAATGAGGGGTCCGGGCCAGTGCGATCGGAAGATCAATCCGGCCCCTTAGTCCGCGAGGCCCGCCCCAAATGCCTGGGGGAGCAGCGATAAGTCGGAGGGAAGATCACCGGCGCGATGCATCCCTCTTAACTTCCTCCTCCTGCTGACACCCTCCCCCATCTCCTCTGCTTCTGCGGGAAACCGTCCTTACCACAACCCGGTGCAAACAATCCTGGCTCAGGACGCAGCCAAAGAACGCAGGATGCCATTGCTCAGCCCAAGTGGGAAGAGACCGGGAGCACCGGTCCCCTGAACCCCGCACCCCCACTGCCCGCTGCCCCCTGGTACTGACCAGCTCCTTCTTCCTCTTCTCTTCTTTCACATCTGTCTTCTTGATCTCCGCCTTGAAGGCCTCCGCCTCGCCGTTCTGGTCGTCCTTGGCCAGCAGGTCCATGAGGTAGGCGATGTAGCTGGTGGCCAGGCGCAGCGTCTTGATCTTGGAGAGTTTGGTGTCCGCGGGCACGTTGGGGATGCACTCGCGCAGTTCGGCGAAGGCGCTGTTGATGCTCTGAGTCCTGCGCCGCTCCTTGCGGTTGGCCGTGCCCCGGCGCTTTACCGGGCGCGGCCCCCCCAGGCCCGGGGGCCCGGCGCCCGGCGGCACCCCCCCGTAATGGGAGTGGTCCAGGCCGGCGGCGCCGCTGGCGTACTCGGGGCTGTAGGACAGGGCCATGCTGTAGTCGGGGGGCGACATCTCGGGGTGGCCGATGAGCCAGCCGTGGAAGTAGGGGTTCTCCTCGTGGCTGCAGCGGCTGGCGGCAGCGGCGGCGGCGGCAGCGGCGGCGGCGGCGAACGGATAACCTTCATGGTGCACCACCGGGTGGTGGGGGAAGCCCCCTACCAGACTCATCTCGCCCTCCGCGCCCCTCCACGCGCCCCAGCGTGCGCGCAGCCCCGCCGCGCCCTCGGCCCGGGCCCCTGCTTCGGCGC